ATGCACATCGGGATCTTCAGCAAAGTAATAATAATTATATAATTATAACAACAGTAAAAAGAACAGCAATTATTATTTATTGAGTGCCTCCTTCGGACCAAGTGCTGCCGTGGCACTCTGAATACATATTTCACTCGTCCGAAGAAGATGATTTTGTCCTCTTTTAACAGATGAGGCATACGTATTTCATTAGCCCCTAGGAGGCTGACTTTATACCTCTCTAACATATGAGAGCGACTGAAACCAAAAATAACTACCCAAGGTCGCAAAACTGATCTGTTACTTAAATGATTACGATGATACACATTTAAAGAGTATTCACTCAAAAACTATTAACTGAGCATCTATCATATTCAACATACAGAGTATATAAGGATGAGCTGAACAATATTTACTGCCCGGAAGTTTAGAATATTAACATTTTAAATCTGCGAGAATGGTCTTCTTTTTTACATCAATTAGCCAGAGTTATGGCAGCGTGCTTCGATTTGAAGTATCATTAATTTTGTCCTTTTAACAGGGAAGCCTTCCGAAATAGCACTTTATTTATTTTGGTATTTGAAGGGGTTTAACCTGATTATAAATTTCTAAAAAGCTAATGAATACAAAATTCCAGGTGAACCTTATTTCAGTTAGCAATTATTTTCTCACAGTTATTGTTTGCAAAGCTTATGGCCTGTCAGAGGATTTTAGTATTGATATATAAGTGTTCAGATGGCTTCTTTCCTCTGGACTGAAAGCGGAGGGTTATAGATTAGGTTGCAGACACTGCCGTTACCACTGCCAGCCAGTGTTCCAAGTTTCTACAGGAACTGTTGAGCTGTATGTATTAAACACGTCCCAAAGCATGAATGTGTGGAGATTAATATGTAGAAAACTAAATTAAATAAGTAGCTGAAAAAATGCTCTCTGTGCTGAACACCAATTTGGCGTAATTATTGTTAATGAGAACAGAAGAAATTGGCTTTATCTTTTTTACTCTTTTTGGCAATTCTGAACTTAAACCCTGACGGAAGTGTGCCTCAGAGGTTGTGCTATTCAATAGTAAGTCTATTATGTGTCATGAACAGTGGCATACATACACATTTGTTTTTCTCCAATGTAGAAAAAATTCAGCTATAAAGATTTTTTACCGATTTTGAGAGATCAAATATTTGGCCCCAGGGTCAAATGGAGAGAGCCGGCCATTGTCTCTTTCTCCAATCAGCCAGGCCTCTGACTCCCATTCTCAAAGACACTGTGATGCAAAATGGCCCTTAAAGCTCCAGCCACCACACCCGTGTTCTAAGCAGTGTGAAGGAAGAAAGTTCAAATAGATAATGAAAATGTACACTACCAGGCTCGTTAGGGCTTTCTAGGAGCTACCACTCTATTTTTCTATCGTATTGGCAAGGACTTAGTGACATAGCCATGCCTGTGTGTACGGAATATGGACCGTTCAGGCTCTCTCATTTGAGGAAGAAGAAAGAATGAACATTGGAGGAGCTGACCGTCTCCCCTCTCCACTACAGTGATCAACTAGTAAAACAGTAATGCAACTCAATTCTCCTAACTGGTGTGCTGAATATAGAATATATATCCCAGTGACTTTAAGGGTTTTTGGAGGGAGTAAAAATGTTCTAGAATTAGATAGTGGTGATAATTGCACAATCTACTGAAAGCCACTCAGCTCTACACTTTGAAGGTGAAGTTAATGAATTGTCTTAACTGTTTTTATTTTGAAGAGAAAAAAATAAAAATAAGTATAAAACAGAGTTTCAAAACAGCTTGGTAGGAGAGTTATAAGAATTACAAGCCTGTAGTCTAAAGTCTAAATATAAGAGGGGAGGACAAAGACACAATTTTTTTTACTTCAGTCCTAAAGTCTAAGGGGCGCATCTCAACGAGAGAGACTGGAGCCTCACTAACCTGCCTCAGCTGTTGTTTTATATCAGGGAGATGCCCACAGCAGTACCACCTTGATGTCGGAGAGTGTGTGGGACTGTGGACCGCGCCGTGGAGCAGCTGGTGGTGGTGATGATCGTGATGGTGATGAGCACTATTCATCACTTCTCAGATACTGACTTGACTTCTTCCATGGGTAATAGTTAGAACGGTGGGCATGTTTGTAATATTATAATTAATCTTAAGAGAAAACCAAGGTACAGGTTGAGTAACTGGTAACGTTTACAGGCTGACTTCATAGTGTGTAATCCTAACTCCAGAACTGAAGCAGTAGCCATGAGGTAAGGAAGCTGAAGCTGAACAAGCTTAGATATCTGGTTCTGAGGGTCACGCAGTGGGTAAGAAGGGGGCTTTGGATGCAAAACCAGATCGACATGATTTGAAGCCGTTACACTTACTTTGTGCCAGGTAATCCTAGTCTTTCTTCAACTTGAAATGTGCTCTATCCAAATGGACTTTATAAAGGAGCAAAGACAGTACAGTGGGATAAAGACAGTCTTGTCAGGGGGCTGGGGATTTAGCTCAGCGGCAAAAGCGCCTGCCTGGCATGCACAAGGTCGTGAGTTCGGTTCCCGGTACCGGAGAAAAACCGAAAAAAAAAAAAAAATACAGTCTTGTCAATAAATGATACTTGAGCAACTGGACATTCATGTGCAAAATCATAAATTTAGACCAGTCCTTATACCCCTCATAAAAATTAACCCATAAAAGACCATACACCTAAATGCAAGCATAGAAGTATAAAACTTCTAGTAGATGCCATAAGAGAAAATATTTCTCTTTTTGTATTAGTGCCTAATAATATCAAAAAATACTGAGTTTGAATGCATATATTTGGAGCATCTCCATTACCCCGTTACCCTTTCACATCCCTCCTCCATTCCTTTCCTCTGTGTAGTAATAATCTCCTTTCTGCTTGAATGGAATTGTTTTTAGATTCCATACATTAGGGAGAACATATAATATTTGATTTTCTAAATCTGGCTTATTGCATTCAACATGGTGTTTTCCAGATCCATCTATTTTTAGGCAAAAGACAAAATTTCCATTTTCTTTATGGCTGAATATCATTCCATTGTGTATTATACCACATTTTCTTTATCATAGGAAAAAATCTTTTCAACCTTCAGGATGGTAATGCCTCTGTAGATTTAACAAAAAACGTGATCCATTAAAAACAAAAAATTGATAAGCTGGACATTATTAAAATAAATAATTCCTATTCTGCAAAAGACAATTTCAAGAGAATGAGAAGACAGACCATACACCTAGAAAAAATATTTGCAGCTGCACGTGGTGGCACACACCCGTTAGCCAAGCAATTGCAAGGCTGAGGCAGGAGGACTCCTGCAAGTTTAAGGCCAGCTTGGGCTACACAGTGAGTTCAGGACCAGGCTGAACTACATAGAAAGACCTTGTTTCAAAAAACTAAGAAGAATTTGCAAATGATATATCAGAAAAAAAGACAGTTATTCAAAATATATAAAGAATTATTTATTAAAGGGATCATTTACCATGATCAAGTGGGATTAATCCAAGGGTTACAAGGATGGTTCAACATACACAAATCTATACATGTGATTTATTATATTAACATGATAAAATGCAAAGAACCTATGATCATCTCAATAGATGCAGAAAGGCATTTAGCAATCCAATATCCTTTCATGATAAAACTCTTAACAAATTCGGTACAGAAGGAATGACAAAAAAGCAACAAGCTCAAAACTAACATCATATTGAGAGGTAACAAATTGAAAACTTCTGAAATCAGGAACAAGACAAGAATGCTACTCCTCCCACATCCATTCAGTGTGTTACTGGAAATCACAGCAAGGACAGTTATGCGAGAGAAAGAAATAAATGGTGTCTAAATTTGAACAGAAGAAGTTAAATTGTTCCTGTTGACAGATGACATGATCTTATATTTAGAAAACCCTAATGACTCTGCCATAAATCTGTTAGGACTAATAAATAAATTCAGTAAAGTTTTAGAACACAAAAATCACACAAAAAATGGTAGCATCTCTACATGCTAACAATGAACCATCCAAAATAGAAATCAAGGAAACAATACCACTTATAATAGCTACCAAAACAAAGTGAAATATGTAGATATAAATTTAAGACACGTAAGTTTAAGATGTAAGTTGAAAGACAACAAATTTATGAATGAATGTTGAAAGAAATTGTAAAGCACACCAAATGAAAAGGTAATCCATGCTCATGAACTGGAAGAATTAATACTGTTAAATGTTTGTTCCATATCAAGTAATAGATTCAGTATGTGTCAAAATTGCAGTGACATGTTTCACAGAAAAAGAAAACACAATCCTAAAAGTGTTAAGGAATCAAATCAGACTCCAGATCGCCAAAATAACCTTGAGCAAAAAGGAACAAAACGTAGGCATTAAACCACCTGGCTTTAAAAGAGTACAGAACTACAGCGAGCAAAACAGCACAGTGCTGGCCTGAACACGGACATGGGCCAGAGCAGAGAGCAGAGAGCCTAGAAATAAATTCATGCCTCTGTGATAACCGACTTTTGATAGAGTTGTCAGAACATACAACAGAGAAAGAAACAATACTTAATAAACAGTTCTTGGACAACTAGATGACCATACGTAAAAAAATGAAATTAAGTATCATATCATAACATAAAAATCACTTCAACATGAATTAAAGTTTTAAATGTTCGATCTGAATCTATGAAACTGCTAGAAGACATGGAGTAAAGTTTCAATGATGTTGTCTGCCAATGATTTTTTGGATTTGACTCTAAAAATATAAGCAACAAAAGCAAAAGCAGGAAAAACAGGATTATCTCAAGCTAGAAGTTTCTGTTCAGCCAGATAAATAACAGAGTGAAGACATAACATATGCAATGGGAGAAAATATTCGCAAACCATGTATCAGGTAAAGAATTAATACCCAAAATATACAAAGAGTTTAAATATGTACACAGTAAATATACACAATTTTCCAATTAAATAAAAAATTAAAAGAACTCTTAAAATGCTCTCATAGGAAAACAAGCCAGATTAAACGGCCCAAACCTTTTAGTGGGCCTCTCGTCAAAGATGTACCGTGAGAAATGAGCAAAGGAAAAGAGTCCCATGGCATACGTCATCAGAGAAATTCAAATTAACAGTGATGAGCTCCCACTGCGTACGTACTAAAACGGCTGACGTTCAGAACGCAGAGCGCGCCCAGTGCGGACGTAAAGCAGTGCTCGGAACCCTCATCCACTGCTGGCAGAAGGCAAAATGGTAAAGCCGTTTTGGAAGACAGTTGGTCCTCTCTTACAAAACTAAACACACTCTTCCCGTACAAGCTAGAAACCCACCCCTTGAAATTTAACCAAACTAGTTAAAAACTTGTGTACACAAGAATGTGTGCATGGATGTTTATTGCAGCTTTATTCATAATTGCCAAAACTTGGAGCAATCAAGATGTCTTTCAGTATGTATGTGGACAAAAATAATACATCTGGACAGTGGAATGTTATTCAGATAAAAGGAAACATACTTGCAAGCCATAAAAGATATGGAAGAATCATAAATACACATCACTCTATGAAAGAAGCTAGTCCGAAAAGTCCACATACCGCATGATTGCAGCTAGATGATATTCTGGAAAAGGAGGTAATATGGAGACACCCAAAAGATTAGTAGTTGTTAGGCTTCCTAGGGATGGACGGCTAGGAAGGACCCAAAGGGCTTTGAGGACAGTGAAGCTCTTCCATGAGATACCATAATGGTCCATTCCTGTCGTTACACATTTGTTCAAAACCCCACAATACACACTACCCAGACTGAATCCCACATGAACTAGGATTTGGGCAAAAGTGATGTGCAAACCTAGGTTTCAGCAGTGGTAGAAAGTGTGCCGTTCGGTGGGCAGTGTTGGTGACAGGGAAGCTTTGCGTGTTTGGTGCCACATGACAAATAAAACTGTCTTTGCACTTTCCTTTTAATTTTGACAGTGAAACTGAAACCTCCCTAAAAGAATACAGTGTTCAGGGAAACAATTTAAAAGTAGTTTGAAAAATCTGACATAAGATTCCAATCACTAGACACATTTGGCTCGCAGATTTATTTTTATTTTTTTAACAACAGAAATAAAGTCTGATAACCAACAGCAGTAAAAGTAACCTTCCTAATTTGGAGAAAAAAGTCATCTCCTTTCATGGATTTTGTGACTTGCACTAAATGTATTTTAGTTAAATTCAACTGTAATTATTAAAGTGATTCGGTGAGAAAGGACTGTATAGATTCTGTCCTGGGACTGCATCACTCATTTGAACCCCACACAGAAACGCTGTCCCGACATGATGCCAGTTAAGAAGCCATTGTCACATATCTGGAAAAGAAGATAACACGGAGACATCCCAGCCACACTCTGGGAGGCTGAGGCAGAAGGATCACAAGTTCAGGCTCAGTGGATTAACTTAGTGAAAACCTGTCTCCAAAAAAAATTTTTTAAAGGGCTTGGAATGTAGCTCAGTGTGAAAGCCTTGGGTTTAACCCCCAGTACTGTGCTGGACAATAAAAAGAAAGAAATCATTCTCTCTCTCTCTCTCTCTCTCTCTCTCTCTCTCTCTCTCTCTC